AAAAAAAAAAAAAAAAAAATACTTAGGCACAAGAACAAATACGTTAACACGTTATTCACTGTCCTTCAAAGTGCTGGGCAAGAAGGTGCTCTTAAACCATTCTATTTTGTTTGAGAATTTCCAAATAAAAGATTAAACAAATCTCTTTTTCTACCATCTGTTTCACAGTTGTTTGATCACAATAAAAGGCACCAAACTTTTGACAGGATCTTTACGAAAAGATGGACCCGACCTGCCTGGCTTTTTTTTTTTTTTTTTTTGGTCAACTTTTCTTCAGAAAAAGGAACCTAAAACCCAGGGATTTAGTGCAGGTATTTATCAGGAGCTGCGGAAGCTGGGCCAGGAGGCAGGCTCAGAGAGCACAGGGGGAGACACTTACAGTCCGGACAGCAGCCGTTAAATGCCATCCTGCAGATGCCGCAGTTCTCATCGTTGGCCACCCAGAGCCAAGTGGCCACGCCGTTCCAGCACTTAATCTTCACCTTCATGGCAGCGGAGCCTGCAGGCTGAGGGGAAGAGGGTTACCTGCTAAATTCAGTCTGCAGAGCTACAACACCTAGGCATCAAAGCAGCCCAGAGGGTGAGCGTTGCAGAACAGCTCCTGGAGAACAGCTGCGCACAGGCAGCAATCTGCTTGTCCCTTTAGCCACCGAGAGAAAAAGGCACATCCCTGGCTGCGCGTGGGCAGGGAGATCACATTTGGGAGCGCAGGGCGCTCTCCCGGGTTTGGTTTTGCCACTCACTGAGGATCGCTTCAAAAATCCCAAGTAATACCTTAAGTGCATGAAAAGGGGCACTGGTTTTCGTTAACAAATTGCAAAAAATATGCCACACGACATTTTAAAAATATTTTTTAAAGTGCTGGGCAAGAAGGTACTAACTTCGGGGTTCCAGGTGGAGGCCAAAAATCCCGCTCGCTACGTTTTCATCTCCCGGGAAAACAAAGCCAAAAAAACGAGCGGCCCGTGTGAGCTCGGATGCGACCTGCCTCGGGCCGCGCCGATGGAATCCGCCCCCACCAGCCCGGTCCCCGCCTGGGTCGGCGGCCGCGGCATGGGGCGGAGGTGACGACCCCAGTCCGCTCCAGGAACCCGGCCGCCCGCCCGCAGCGCCCCTCGGCCGTGGCCAACCCGCGACCGCAGGGAGGGGCTGAGGGGCGCCAGGCACCGCCCCCAACGGCCGCCGTCCCACCCCTGCGCCCTCACACCTTCGCCAACCTAATCACGCGCCGCCCCGCCCGCCCTTCCGTTGGCAGCGCCGGCGTCCGCGCGGGAAGTTATAAAAACGACGGCGGCAGTGGCCGGCACGCTCACTTGCGCCCGCCTAGCCCCGTGCACGAGCGCGCACGCGCCTCCCCGCCCCGTGCACGCAGCCGCCCACCAGTAGCCAATCAGCAGTCGCTCCGAGGCCGAGGCTCCGGAAGGGCCCGCGAGGCGCAGGAAGTGACGCGCCGGCGTGCTGACGCGCGGGCTGGAGCCGAGGCCCGATTCCGCGCCCGCCATGGCCGACAAAATGGACATGTCTCTGGACGACATCATTAAAATGAACCGGAGCCAGCGAGGCGGTCGCGGCGGGGGCCGGGGCCGCGGTCGGGCCGGCTCCCAGGGCGGCCGCGGCGGCGGAGCGCAGGCCGCCGCGCGAGTGAATCGAGGCGGCGGGGCCATCCGGAACCGGCCGGCCATCGCCCGCGGTGCGGCCGGCGGCGGCGGCAGAAACCGACCGGCGCCCTACAGCAGGGTGAGTTGGGAGGCTGGCCGGCGCCGCCGGAGGGCGGAAGGGCGAGCCGGGGCCGAGGGCCGCCCGCGGAGGCCAGGCCGGGCGGGCTGAGGTGGCCGCCGGAGCGGGCCGGCCCCAGGCCCGGCGGGTGCGAGCGGGCGCCGAGCGGGTGGTGGGCGGGGGCGAGGTCGTGCGGTCGGGGCCTGGCCTGGGAGGCGGAGACCCTCTCCGGCTCTTTGTCTCGTCTGGGCGCCGTGGCCTCATGGCTGCGGGAGCTGAGGGGATGCTGGGCGCGGCCGCACCAGCGGCGGGAAGTTAGTCGAAGGGAACTGAGAAGTTGCGCGGCCGCGGTGGGACCGTGGGGCTTCGGGCTGGGGGATTGCATCGCCGGGCGAGGGTTGGCGGCCCCTTCTTCGCGGCGTTCTCCAGGCTCCGACGAGAGAGGGTCTGGGGTAGCTGTGAGCGCAAGGGAGAGCCCTGGACTGAGACTCACTGGTCTGTCTGTGTTTTTGCCGTTCTTTCTTTCAGCCAAAACAGCTTCCTGACAAGTGGCAGCACGATCTTTTTGACAGTGGCTTCGGGGGTGGTGCCGGTGTGGAGACAGGTGGGAAACTGCTGGTGTCAAATCTGGATTTTGGCGTGTCAGATGCTGATATTCAGGTAAGAGCAGGGAGTTTCTCAGCGAGCTGTTCGCCTTGCACAGAACGGATCACGTTGTTTGGGACGTGGCCCTAAGTCCCCTCCCTGCTGTGCAAGGGTTACCCGCTGTTCCCCTCTGAGGGGCTGCAGGGCAGACGCAGTGCGAGTGTAGAGCAGAGGCCTACTGGGGCTGCAAATCCGACAGGTAGGCCAGTGCGCAGGAAGACAGGACCCTAGCATAGCCTGGGGAGCTCCTGCTCTTTGAAAGATGTTCTGCGAGTGAAAGGCATCTGCCAGGGCTTCTGATTTCTCACAGGGACACAGATTGGTCACGTGTGAGTGGTTCCTGTGTGTTGCTGTTGGACCTAGGCCACTTGCTTTTTTGATTTCGTGCCTATTTTAGGAAGCTAATGTGAGAAGAATCTACTCAGCGTAACTGATAAAGCTAACGTACCCGTGTACTCTTCCAGCTCGGTTTGCCCTGAGCACGGCGTCTCAGCCTCAGTGCTCTGCAATCTTATCATTCCGCGGTACCCCACGTCTTGTCAGTGGCATGGTTCTCAAACCTATCTTTGGTTGAGCTTAATTTTTTCTTTTTTTCCTTTCTTTTTTTTTTTTTTAACCTCAAAGACATTTAAACTTGTTTTCTGGTTAAGAAATGGCTTTTTGGGAGTCAGTCTTGGAGATGGCTGGGTCAGGGTGCTGGGCCTCCCTGGGTTCAATTCCCCAGAGCCCAGCCACTTGGCTTTGCCTTGGGAGGACAGAGGAGGGCCAGTGAGCACTCACAGTGTCTCAACACTTTTTTTAAGGTGGTTTCTGGCATCCACTGGAAACCGCTTTTGGTGAACTCCACTTCCCGCTGTGTGCCTGCGGCCGGAGTAGCCCCACACTCTGGGTTCCCTCTCCAACTCCCAGCCTGCCTGAGGTCAGGGCAGTTTCCATGGCAGCGCTTGACTTCAGACTTTGCGGCAGGCTTGAGTAGGAGGAGAGGGAAAGGTGAGCCAGAATCCGCCTTGGGGGAAGGGTTGGGGTCAGGGCTCCCGAATCAGCAGGCCCTTCTAGCTGCTCTGGTCTATCGGGCAGCTTCCCTTGGTCTTGATCTCGGCCACTGCTGTTTATTGGAACAGCCCTCGGGTGTGCTGTACGTTTTCCTTTATTTAAGAGGATAGTGACTTAATTTTGTGCCCTTTGCGACTTCCTTTACCTGCGTCATGGTACAGATGGCAGGAGCCCTCAGACCCAGGTGCTCTTGGAAGTTGCTGTCCCTCCTGCCCCATCCCTTCCCTCCGTTCCCATCACCACTACCTGCTTCCCAGGGAAGCACCCCAAAGCAGCTCACACTCCCAGGGACTATCCCTGGGTGGTCAGAAGGAAAACAGCTTTGTTGCTTTGCTAACAGCTGCTCTTTCTGACTCCCAGGAGCTCTTTGCCGAGTTTGGAACACTGAAGAAGGCAGCCGTGCACTACGATCGCTCCGGCCGCAGTTTAGGAACAGCAGACGTGCACTTTGAACGGAAGGCAGACGCCTTGAAGGCGATGAAACAGTACAACGGTGTCCCTTTGGACGGTGAGTCTGGGGCTGGAGCCAGGCTGACTGGGGGCTGTGACGTTTGGGCCAGCACCTGCCCGTGTAGGGATATGGCCCAGCCCCTGGCTGAGGACACTTTGCATTTGCCCCTTTGTCTCTCTCTTCCATTCTGCCACCTCTCATGCTGCCCCACACATCTGGACCAACCTCTTGTGAACCCCCATCCAGCAAGCTACATCCCTCCCCTCCTTCAGCTCCTTCCGGAAGACTCACTTCTGTGAAGCCTTCTCAGAACCGCCATAGTACACCTCTGAGTGCGGGGCTGTAGTCATAAAGACAAAGGTACCGGTTCTTCTTCCGTCAGGTCACCCACACCTGTCCACCCATGAGCACCCCGGACACCTGAGCAAACAGCCCACCTAGCCTGGACTGAGAAGGAGTGAGGAGTGTTGGTGGGGTTGTTGTCATTGCCATTTTGTTCTCCCACCAGTATCTCTAGGCCATTTCCCTTGTCAGGGGCATTTGAGACGCACAAAGGCCCTTTCCAGAGTTTGCATGGAGACCAGGGTGTGGTGCCGCCTGGTTCGATTCAGAACCTCTGATTGGAATGTGTCTTCTTGTATCCTTTGCCACAGGCCGCCCTATGAACATTCAACTTGTTACATCACAGATCGATACGCAGCGGAGACCCGCGCAGAGGTGATTTCCAGGGGCGGGATGAATGGCATGTGGTGCGGCTGCATCATCCGGGGCCTTCCTAGGTGTGTGAACAAGTCCCATTTCCTTGCTAGTGTAAACAGAGGCGGCATGACTAGAAACCGTGGTTCCGGAGGTTTTGGTGGTGGTGGCACCCGGAGAGGCACCCGTGGAGGCACCCGGGGAAGAGGCAGAGGCACTGGCAGAAACTCAAAGCAGCAACTTTCTGCAGAGGAGTTGGACGCCCAGCTGGATGCCTATAATGCAAGGGTAAGCCCTGGGCTGGGGAAGGGGGTGCGGCCCAGGTAGGGACCAGCCAGAGATGGAGCTGGGGAGCAGGACCTCCCTTGAGCAAGAGCCTGTTTTCCTGTGTTTCAGATGGACACCAGTTAAACAGACCAGCAAATCCACGTGTGGACCAGGACCCAGACGTCTCACTGCGCGCCCTGCTGGGGGGTGGGGTGGGCGGCTGGGGCTGTGTGGCCAATGATGGATTTGTTTCTTTTGTGTTTTAAAAATAGGATTTAAAAACTCATGTAAAGGTTTTCTTTCTTTCTTTTTTTTTTTTTTTTTTTTAATTCTGAAACAGACCTGTTTTGTACTGAGTTATTTTTGGGATAAATTTTACTGGTTGCTGTTGTGGAGAAGGTGGTGTTTTCACCTTTTCCATAATAAAATAGAAATGTGTGTAGAATTGCAGCTGTTTGATTCATCTCACTGTTGGAGTACTCACCTGGGCCAGAAGTTTGGTGTCTGTCCAGGCAGGAGGGTAGCGGAGGGGACCTGGAGGGAAGGGTGTTGGGAGTAGTCCCATATGTGGCATTTGGCACTGCCTGGCACTAGCATGGGGTTGGAGCCAGTCCGTGCTCTGGAGGACCATGGCTACCTTCTTTCCTGTCTCCTTTTCCACCTAACTCCTAACGCCTTACTCTCTAACTCAATAGGTAGGAGGACACCAGGGCAGTGGTGGCGCTTTGCCGGAGCTGCTTGTTCACTGTGCCTGCACCGCAAGGTGAGGTGATGGGGGTGGGGCGGGCTACCCTGTGTACTACCCAGCAGTTTCCCACGACCAGAAAATCTCTGGGCTGTTCCTTTTCTTGTACTCAGGTTCTCAGAGAAACTTAGATTAAGCTGTTCTGACTTTGTAGTGTAGTTCTTTCATTTTTATTTTTTATTTTTTTAATGTTGTCTGAGAGCAAAGCTTAAGGGTACGCTCTTTTTCTTTTTGAGACAGGGTTTTGCTTTGGCGGCCAGGCTAGAGTGCAGTGACACCACCATAGCTCGCTGCAGCCTCCAACTCCTAGGCTGAAGCCTCCTGCCTCAGCCTCCCAAGTAGCTGGGACTACAGGCACATGCCGCCACTCCTGATTAATTTGTTTTTGTTTTTTTTTTTTTGTAAAGACAGAGTCTTGGCTATGTTACCCAGGCTGGCCTTGCAATCGTGGCCTAAAGCGATCCTCCCTCCTCGGCCTCCCAAAGTGCTGGGATTACAGGCGTGAGCTATTGTGCCTGGTTGGTGGTCTCTTAATTGTGTATTGAGTAAAATAGCTGGTGGAAGCTGTGAGGATCTGTCTAAGAGTGGGGTAAGTCGGGGAGTCTTGTACCACCTGATGCTAGGTGGGGATGGGGAGAAGGGAGCTCCGGGGTCTCTGCCCCCTGTGTCTTCACAGCTGGAATGCCAGGCTGAGATGCCAGGAAGACCGGGGATCAGGTGATGGGAGTGGACAGACTGAGCCAGGAGTTCACTCAATGCTCCTGAAGCTGTTCCCTGCCTGTTGGGCAGCTCCTGCTGGGCACACGCCCCAGGCCACATTGCTTCAGCGTTGGGAAGAGACTGACTGAGTCATGGCGGGGAGCGGGACTAAGGGGTGGCCTTTAACTGTCAGTGACAGGTATCGCTACAGACCAGTGGCTGCAGCGTGCTCCGTGCCAGCCGAGGCCACAGGCTGGAGACACGGGTGAGCAGCGTGTCTAAGCTCAGCTCTCAGGAGCCCGGTCTCCAGGGAGGGTCATGAGATACCCAGCTTGAGTTGCCGTGGCGGTGAGAGAAGGCTGTGAGGGTGGGGAGTCGTCTGCCCGGTTGGAATGAGGCTGTCCCTGAGGAGGCGCCTTTGGCTGGGCCCTGAGTGCTGGAGCGGGACCTGAGCAGGCGCGCGCCGGCTGGGAGGCCGCTTGCTGGAGCACGAGAGCGGCCTTGCTCCCCACTGCCCGGAAAGCTGAAGAGAGCGTCTGGTGGAGGGGAGATCAGGCTGAATGAGAGGTGGTGGTGCTGGGACCCGCCAGCCTGGCAGGGTGGCGGCTGGTGGCTTAACGGGAAGTGGAAGGAAGAATGGCCTGGATATGGGGCCTGTTGGCACCCTTGAGGGGAGGCGCATGGGAGTGAAGCATCATTGAGGCCTTTGGCTGGGGCGGGTGAGGATAGAAATAAGATGTCACTACTGGGCCGGGCGTGGTGGCTCACGCCTGTAATCCTAGCTCTCTGGGAGGCCGAGGCAGGCGGATTGTTTGAGCTCAGGAGTTCGAAACCAGCCTGAGCAAGAGCGAGACCCCGTCTCTACTAAAAATAGAAAGAAATTAATTGGACAACTAAAAATATATAGAAAAAATTAGCCAGGCATGGTGGCGCATGCCTGTAGTCCCAGCTACTCGGGAGGCTGAGGCAGGAGGATCGCTTGAGCCCAGGAGTTTGAGGTTGCTGTGAGCTAGGCTGACGCCACGGCACTCTAGCCCGGGCAACACAGTGAGACTCTGTCTCAAAAAAAAAAAAAAAAGATGTCACTACTGGAGCAAAGGCCAACGTTTGCCTGGGGGACGCGGTGCAGGTGCTGCCAAGTGGTCAGAGGAGGGTGGCGGGGCGTGCGGCCTTTGTAACTGGAGCGATGGGGGCAGCTGGGGCTGGATGCCACCTGGGCTCCCCGTGGGCAGTGAATGGTAGAGCTGGGCCGAGCGTCTCGGTCGTATCAAGCCTTCGCTGCTTTATCTGTGTAACACGGGAAACCTCATTTTACTTCAAGGGCCAGAGGACCATTTAACTTATTGTCCAAACTGGGATGCTTTTGAGATAGAGGAGGAAGGGGACTGACTCTTCTAGTGCTTGCACAGAGGGCAAGTGGAGACCAAGGGCGCCTTGGCCAGCCAGACCCTCTGGCCCCTTGCGAAGGGCGGTGCCGGGACTGGAGTAGAGAGTGCAGGGCCAGCACACGCTGTGCAGCAAGCTGCCGTCCCCCAGACAGTACGCACTGAAAGGATGAGAGACGGGGTCGTCCTGTGTGTTCTTCACGTGCTTTGCGCAGTGAGCTGCGGCGGGCCGACTGGCCTGGCAGCCTGCAGGCGGCCTTCAGGCACATGGGGTACACCCCGTGCCTCTCGCAGCCCTGCGGGCCCAGACGTGGGCTCACAATTCACGCTTAGCCAGGGTTGTGCTTTGTGGGCTTCCAAGTGCGTGCAGGGAAGGAAGCCCCTGTTCTTGTCCGTTTCTCCAGCCCAGCGCGGGTCGGGAGTAGGAGCTCGCGGCCGCTGGCAGCAGAGGCAGCACGTGCACTGGCACGGGAGCTTGTCGCGGGGCTGGCAGGCGGCCTGCCCAGCTCTGCCTTTGGCCTGAGGTCCTTTAGCGCGGCTCTCAGGTTCAGTCACGTGGCTTGTGACTAGAGGAAGTGGTGAGCTGTGAGCTCCCACAGGGTCCTTGGCTCCGGCTTGGTGCAAGCAAAGGTCTGCAGCGTGATCGGGCCTAAGGAGGGCAGCCCTCTTCCTTTTGTGGACTGAATCGTATCAAACCTCGTGTTGGGTTGCTGCGTCTGTACCTGGGTCTTCATGTGAATGAGTAACTTTCCGTTCTTACCTTTAGCAAGCTGATAGTCTAGTACAGGAAACTAGTGAGAGGTTCCAGTACTGTGGAACGACGGTGGAAACGTGAACTTCGAGAGCCGTTTCCTCTATTTGGGCCGCGCAGCGTCAACAAGCGTCTGCCGAGGGCCTGTGGATGTCCTGTACGGATCTCATTTACCTCCTGAGAATCCAGTGACACCATCTTTTCACTCTAGAGCTTAAAGAAAAGGAAGTTTATCTCCTTACCCCACAGCCCTGTGAGTGCCTGCTGCATGCCAGACACCATTTTCAGATGCCACGGAAAACAGCAGTGAGCCAAACAGAAGCCTGCCTTGTAGAACCTACCTTCTAGCGAAGGAAAGGCAGGAGAAAGTGGAATTTGGACGTCCGCCGGCGGCGAGGCTGTGAAGAAACAAAGCTGGGAGTGGCGAGGGCCCTGCAGGCCTCAGGTCTGGAGGGTAAGAGGCAGGAGCCCCGTAGACGCTGGGGGGCAGAGCAGAGCGACTGTGCAGGTCCTGAGGTGGGAACGCACTTGGGGAGCTCGGGAGCAAGCCAGGACCCCAGCGTGGCATGGGTGGGGGACAGGCTACCTGGGGCCTTTGTCTCCAGCCTCTGCCGGGCGTGAAGGAGGGAGCCCTGCTGGGACAGCAGCCGGAGGTGCGTCTGCCCTGGGAAAGGCAGCAAGGGTGGGGAGGCAGGGCCCGGGCAGAGATGGCCAGGGTCCAGCATGAGGGGCTTGGATGTAGGTGACATCCACACAGTGGCCAAAACAGGCAGAGCCATGGAGTAGACTGTGTTTTGTTGTAATAGTGTGTGGAACATGCAGTGCTTTTTAAAGAAAAGTAGAGTTTTTTTTAGCTGAAAAAGTAAGCTGGAAAGGGTGAAATAAGAGCTTTATTGAGATGTTTCTGACATAACAGAAACTTCACAGACTTAAAACAAGGGCGCAGTTCAGGGGTTTTCTCTGCCTTGGCAGAGTCACACATCTGCCACCACTGCCAATTTCCAGAGCGTTTCCATCCCCAGAAAGAAACCTGTACCCACTGGCAGTGGCCCTCTAGCCCCGGCACCACTGTCGCGCGCTCTGTCTCTGTGGTCTGAAGGTTTCCTACGAGACTGGTGGCCCCTGTGACTTAGTGTAACGTTTCCAAGGCCCCTCCGTGTCGCGGCGCCTCAGAGCTTCGTTCTGTTTGTGGACGTCCGGTGGGTTCTGCTTTGTGACTATCAGAGAAATGGTACTAGGAACGTAGTTTTCACCTCTCTTGGAGTGGAATTGCTGGGTCACAGGGTAACCACGTTTACCTTTCTGAGGAACTGCCAAACTTCTCCAAAGCAGCGGCGGCATGTTGCATTCCCACCAGCAGCGTGCTGGGGTACGGTTACTCAACTACTCTTGTTGTTAGCGTCTGTCTTTTTTAGTTAGCTGCCCTACTGGGTGTGAAGTGCGCTCTCATTGTGGTTTTGCCTTGCAGTTTCTTCGTTATAATCTTTTATCTTTGTGTGTCTGAATCCAATAGAAGTGATTAAGGACGACTTTCCTCATGATCCAACTACAGACCGAAGAGTCGTGTTTTTCGCCGTCCACGTCCGTCACGTTTCTTTAGTCATCTTTGACTCCTAGTGCGTCAGCCTTTCTTGGTCTTTCGTGGCCTTGATGCTTTTGAAGGGCACTGTCAGCTGTTTTGTGGGATGTCCCCCAGTGGGGATTGTCTGACCTTTCTTTTATTTTTCTTTCATTATTTTTTTCACCAACGAGTTGTAAAAGATGCCCTTTCTTATGATCAGACTGGGGTTGTCTGTTTCAGGTGTGAATGCCACAGCTAGGATGTTCCCTCCTGGGCGCATGGCGCCGGGACACCTGATGTCAGCCTG